AAAAAAAAAAAAAAAAAAAAGGTGGTTCATCATTTGTAACAAATATACTCACGAGTACAAAATGTTAATAATAGGATGAACTGGGTCTATGAAAACTCTCTGTACTTTCCACTCATTTTTCTGTAACTTCTCAAAAAAAGTCTAATAAAACAAAAAGGCGGTCCGGCATGGTGGCTCACATCTATAATCCCAGCACTTTGGGAGGCTGAGGTCAGGGGACTCCCTGAGTTCATGGGTTTGAGACCAGCCTGGGCAACTTGGCAAGACCTCATCTCTACAACAAATCAAAAAATTAGCCAGGCATGATGGCGTGTGCCTGTAGTTTCAACTATTTGGAAGGCTGAGGTGGAAGGCTATGGTGGCCATGAGTGTGCCACTGCACTCCAGCTTGAGCAACAGAGTAAGGCAGGAGGGGGGAAAGGCAAGCAACCCAATAAATATTGCCAAAACATTTTTTTTTTAAAGATGCAGGGCCAGGTGCAGTGGCTCACGCCTATAATCCCAGCACTTTGGGAGGCCAAGGTGAGAGGATTGCCTAAACCCACGGGTTTGAGACCAGCCTGGGCAACTTGGGGAGACCTTGTCACTACAATAAATCAAAACACTAACCAGGCGTGATGGCCTGTGCCTGTAGCTCCAGCTACTAGTAAGGCTGAGTTGGAAGGATCACCTGAGCCCAGCAGGTGGAGGTTGCAGTGACTGTTAGTGCCTACTGCATTCCAGCCTGGGTGACAGAGTGAGACTCCAACTAAAAAAGAAAGAAACAGAAAAGGAAAGAAAAAGAATGCATCTATCAGGACGGACTTTGGTGCAGTAACAAACAACCCCAAAATCTTAGTGGCTGAACTCAAGAAAGATTGAATTTTGGTTCCACCACACTCCCATTGCAACTGGACAGGAGGCCGTGTTCAATGTAGTTGCTCAGGGCCTGGAGAATGGAGTACCACATATCAAATGCGGCTGCTCACCCTGCCCAGAGGAGTGGCATTCCCGAGGCCCTGGCATCTAAAGGCTCCATTAAGAACTGTCACGTGTGGCTTCCTCTCATGACCCACTGGCCAGAACCGGCCATGTATCTACGCAGTCACCCCAGGGGGTCAGGAGGTGCTGCCCACCCGTACTGTCCACCCGTGTGCTTCAATAGGGGAGAGGCAGATGTGTTTTGCACACAGCACTAGTGACTATGACCACAGAAAAACAGGCGCTCGATCGCTTGGCGCCTCCATTTTCTCATCTCTTAAGTGGGCATGAGTCTGGCTTCATGTGGTCTCTATATTGTGGTGCACGAGGATGAATAAGGTCACAGGCCAGGTGCAGTGGCTCACGCCTGTAACCCCAGGGCTTTGAAAAGCCGAGGCAGGAGGATCACTTGAGTGCAGGAGTTTGAGACCAGCCTGGGCAACATAGTGAGACTCCTCTACAAAATATCAAAAAATGAGCCGGGCATGGTGGCTTGCGCCTATAGTCCTAGCTACTCGGCAGGTTGAGCGGGGAGGATCGCTTGAGCCCAGGAGGTCAAGGCTGCCGTGAGTTATGATCGCGCCACTGCACTCGGGCCTGGGCCACAGAGCGAGACCCCCGACTCTAAAAAGAAACAAACAAGGACAGTCACAGATCGATGGGCACGGGCTGTAGTCCCCACTCGCTGCTCTTCTCCGCGGCTGAGGGACTGGGCGGGGAGGCCAGGCTGTTCTCCGAGTCCTCCTGGGCCCTCGAGGGCGCGTGGCGAGGGGTCCGAAGCCGCTGCCCTGAGCCTGGATCCTCTTCCTGTCCGCAGGTCTCCGGGCGCCCCCGTCTCTCGCCGCCCATGCCGCTGGGACTGGGGCGGCGGAAAAAGGCGCCGCCTCTCGTGGAAAATGAGGAGGCGGAGCCGGG